CCATACGTCTAGTAAAGGTACCGCGGTGTATCTAAGTGTAATGGTATGGCACATGGCTATCTAAGTATCTTTGAAGACCTACAATGCCCGATTTTTAAAGTGTATATTTCTTTTAATCAAGTTTAAAATATTGTGTCATGGCAGAGTGTGGACTTTTCCCCTCCTTCCCTGCCTTTTTTAAGAATTAGATGTTTTCACTTCTCCTTCGACATAATTTAGCTTTAGTTAGGAGGCTGGCGTCAGACCCTGCTTGTCAGGGCCAACTCGGGCTGAGAAAGATGCAATTACCCAGTATTAATACTGTAATGTTTAAACACACACACAAGAAGTATTGAAAAGTAGGCCTACTTGGTGTAGATCTATTCGATGCTGACACCTATTCAGTAGTAATGGTCGGTCCCCGAATCCCCGGCAAGACAAAGAAGCAGCGTGTTGCTAATGAAAGAAGTGCCGTATAAGACTGCAATATAAGCCCTTAAGGAGTCGTAGCGTGTGTATGTATACGCCGTTCTGGTCATTGCTTTTACATTCGTCTCGCCCCCTCCACCCTCATCGTCTATATTATATCTTCTAGACAGTAGTCATAGTAATTGTTTGTTATATAACCAGATCTTTAGCGGCCAACAGCATCTTCTAACTTCTTCTTTCTCAACGTGTATGTTACTTCACAATACTTGTTATAAGGTAGACTTACATACCTTGTGTTTGAATGGTAAACGTAGACAGTTTCCTTCTCCTCAAGCGATTCATAGTGGCCTATTCCAGTTCAGACAACAGAATATGAAGTTATCAGCTCCGGGATTAAACGTTGTTCATATCCAGAGCCCGGTCGTGCATTAGACAATGTATTCAACAGACAAGGAGTTCATCGAGATTCACCTCAGACGCAGTTCAGGCCCGGTTCCCTGTGTCGAGATAAATGTATGTTAGAATCTGTCTTGATGAAGAAAATCTATCAATATTACAGTCCAAGTTGTCAGAGATGGACAGCCATTGTTGAGGAGAAAAGTTGTTGTCTTAGACAGGAGGATGTCAAAGACATTGTCATTAAAATATAGGAAAAAAAGACAAGGTGGAGGTGGGACGTGGTCGTTTGTACAGATGATTATTTTGCACATGTGGCCGTTAGAGCGAGTTCGACTTATTCAAGGCAATGAAAAGCGCTCTTTCATAATCCTCCCCTCATCGAAAAAAAGTTTTGAAACCTAATAAACAGAATTACTTCCGAATTAGATGCTTCCATCTGTCTACACCAATCTGTTTTGTGAGAAGCAGGGGAAGCCCCACTGTATTAGTCTGCTTTGCGAGACAATTTGGTGATAATAAAAATATTAAGAAATAAGAGAACACACTGGGAAAAGACAGGAGGGGAAAGAGTGGAGAGAGAGAGAGGGTGGAAGAGAGAGAGGGGGTGAGAGAGAGAGAGAGAGAGAGAGAGAGAGAGAGAGAGAGAGAGAGAGAGAGAAAGAAGACGGGATAGAGAGAAGACAGACAGACAGACAGACAGACAGACAGACAGACAGACAGACAGACAGACAGACAGACAGACAGACAGACAGACAGACAGACAGACAGACAGACAGACAGACAGACAGACAGACAGACAGACAGACAGACAGACAGATATTGAAATAGACAGACAGAAAGCCGCAGAGACAGAGACGTAATGACAAAGATAAATCAAAGATTATCAGGCTGAAAAAAAGAGGGACTGGAGAGGCAATGGATGGAAAGATGGATGAATAAATTAACTGATGCTTAATATTTGGATACAAATGACTGAACAAACGAAGTTGCGATATCAATCTTTCAAAAATAAACCGCTTACCACCAGAACTAATAAAACTCACGAATAAAGAACATTCCACATTTACAGACCTAAGAAATGTTAGTCTGCCGTCTTGGCCACTGATTCCACAAGAAAGCAACAAGCACCCAGCAATCGACGCCAACTGCTTGCATGAAGCCACAAAACAAAGCAATAATTACGCCGAGACGATCCAACAGGAGAACCAGCTGAACAACTCTAATGATTTGATTTGCAAAATACAATCACAACCCTAGAAGAAGGAGAAAAAAGGCTAGACAAACGCAGCTCCCAACCACTGTGGTAATCATAATGCTGCTCCGAGTGCGGTTATAAAAATAAACTCTTAAATTAGCGTTTTTCTTCTCCTCATATTGTACAACATTCCTCTTTGTGTTCCTCTTTAAAGAGGTAAAGTAACGTTATCGAACCCTGAGACGTCTATGATTTCCAGTCTGCCTCAAACTAAGGGAGAAAAAGTCTTTAAAGAGAAGGAAAGACAAAGCAAAACAAAAACAATTAAACGCCCGAGTTAAAAGCTTAGGTGGTGAGACAAAAGGCCAATCACAATAGCGCGTTCCTCGGTCGGTCGGCGTTCTCAAGTGCTTGGAGGGGACTTTATTTGAGTATCGAATAAAAGTTCGTGGCATGGATGCAAATTACAATCGTGAAGAAGAAGAAGAAGAAGAAGAAGAAGAAGAAGAAGAAGAAGAAGAAGAAGA